ATTGTAATAAAAATAAATTAGAATAAAAAAAACTAACTCCTATAGCTGGGATTTAAACTGGCTTTCTGGTGGCTAATATTCATTGCTTCTCAATTTATCCGGAAAATCGAAAAACTGGGATATTGAAGTATTAGAAAACATTGAGGCAATCAAATTTCAATTTTATGATTGTTTTCAGGTCATCTGCGTAACCTATGGTATTATATCTTAAGCTTTTAAGATCTTTGATTACATCATCAACTACCAACAACTAAAAAAGTGGCGATAGTACCTCACCTTGAGAGCCACCAGGGCTTGAAACGCTACACATTCTCGCTAATAAATTCAATCAATCTAATATTATATTTAACACAAACTGTACACAGCAAAGCATCTCTGTCTCGTTGAAATATCGGAACAGGAGACTAGAGTCTCGCTACCTTGTTCTAGCACAGTACTACTCGCTCTCTATGTGGAGCCAATAATTGACACTCAGCAGTTGAATGGGGCAGAATATATAACATTTTCCTTCATGTTTGAACATATACGTGTCCCAAAATATATAATAATTTTTTTTGTTAAATATTAGGTAAATATTATTCTTTATTAACTGAGTAAAGAGATTGTAAAATATATATGACTAATAATAAAGAGAAGCAAGGTGGCGAAAACATGTACCAATAAAATAAAATAAAAGGTTTTCCAAGCCGAAAAGAATATGATAACTTTTTCTATGATAGAGTGTTAAACACCCGGAAAATTTCCGTTTTAGGAGGCACTGCAAAGGCAAACTCGCTAATTATATTTCAACAACTTTGCATAATATTTCTTAATTTTCCAGAACGTAACCCACTCGAGTACTTCCAACTAAGTTGGGGGGGGGGCGCCGTGAGGATCACAGCGGGTGGAAATTAAATTAAGGACCTTTATTATCAAAATTAATATTTACTGCAACCATAATCCGACAGGAGCGTTGACTATGTGCTTTTAAGAGGTGGGACAACTGTCTATTACGAGAATCATCTGCTGTTTATCACACAGAATACAAGTTGTACATAAAACAGCCCAAATTCGAACCTTAAACAAATGTTTTGCAGTTTGTATTTATTGGAGGACAAATTCTAGTAAGAAAAGAAATGCTATTTGGGCAGATGAATTTTCGTTGTATTTATGATATTATATTAATATATTATTTAAAGTTGAGAGATTCCCCTTAAGATTTGCGAGATGTTGAACCTGTCATATTTTAGTAGGAATGAGAATAAGCAGTCTAAAATCAACGACCAAATTACACTTCATCACTCTGCAGACCAGAATAATTTTAAATTGTATGTAGCTTAGTCGTTCTCGATCATTTAGTCTGGCTATAACCGTTTCGGCTTCTCACCATTTTAATTTTAATTACAATTTAACTCTATTCTTCATTGGCAAAGCTGTGACTTACCATACAGCCCAAAGATATGCGGAGCAGCAGACGTAGCAGGGTTCATGAAAGTGCTACGTTGAACATTCTCATTTTAAAATTGCCGGAATTATGTTGCTGACGGAATCATTAAGGGGCAAAGCGGTGCAAAAATGAGTTATCAACGACGACACCGAAGGGCGGACTAATGTTCTTTGCCATGCTAAGGAAATGGCTGTTAACAGCAAAAAGTTCAACTTTTCACAATTGCCATCCGTCATGCTTTGAACTCTTATGGAAAGGAATGTGCAGCTGGACAATAGGCCAGCTAAAATCAAAAAGTTGATCTAAGTGCTTGTGCTTTTTCCAACGTCGCATTAGCCCTAGACAAGCACAGGCTCGATTCAAAAACTAGATTGTTGTCACACGTGGACATAACTTCAATGGGCGAAATTCCAGAAATGTAACTGCTAAAAGCAAAAACCCTCAATTTTTCACGATTGCCTCCCTGACATCCTTTGAACTCTTTTAGAAAGGAATGTACGGCTGGACAATAGGCCAGCTAAACAGAATAATTTTGCTTACAAGCTTAAATCAACTGATGATGAAATCGGTGATCCTCTAAAAGTCAGTATGTCAATCTGGAAAGACTATTTCAAATCTAACGGTGACGAAGGTGTTGATCTCCGATGTGCACATACGGTACACGAGAGTTGACCAAAGTCCTTGCGCTTTTTTACATCTCGATTGAAAAACTAGATTGTTGTACACCCACTTGGACACGTCCTCAATGGGCGAAGTTCCAGAAATGGCAACTGCCAAAAGCAAAAACCCTCAACTATTCACGGTTGCCACTCTGACATGCTTTGTACTCTTTTGGAAAGGAATGTGCAGCTGGACAATGAGCCAGCTAAACAGAATTATTTTGCTTACAAACTTACATCATCTGATGATGAAATAGGTGATCCTATAGAAGTCTATTAAGCAGGGAAGACTATTTCAAATCTAAAGGTGACGAAGAAGGAGTTGATCTCCAATGTGCACCTACCTTACACGAGAGTTCACCAAAGTGCTTGCGTTTTTTTACATCTCGATTGAAAAACTAGATTGTTGTACGCGCACTTGGACATGTCTTCAATGGGTGAAGNACTTTGATAGTCAAAAAGGTAATGAAGACCAAAAAATAAAACCATAAATGATAATGGGGCACACAACAGAAATGATTTATCAATAAAAATTAAAGTGGATACAAATCTGATTGGGCTGGTTTTCAGGTGGATTTTTTTTTAAATTTTCCTTCCAATGCCAAGACTAGACTATCCTTAGAGAGAGCCTGGACGTACTTTGTTGTTATAATATGTACAAACTAGAAGCAAAGTGAATAATCTTTACCTTCAAACATACAAATCTTAGAAGATAAAAAAGATATTTCAGCTTAGTGGGCCTTAAAATGACAACATAGATACTAAACCTGCAAGACCGCTGAGTGTTGAAGAAGTGTAGGTCTTGCCCCCTCTGTTTGGGCAGGCTTTCAATTTCTACTAATGTAATTAGTCAACTAAATGATAAAATGAAAGTAATAACAAAATTAAAAAACAAGAAAAAACGCAGTTAAGTATTAATAATAAATCAGCTACGGTCGCATAACTTTTGAATAGAAATTTTTACAAATTTTTGATTGATGTTTGTCTGCGAGTCGGTTTACTCATGCTGCACCGGTATCGGGTCTCTTATCGGGTCCGTCTTCATCAGTTTGTTCATGTTTGAGTAGTTCAACAAACCCACGCGTGAAGACGGTGAATGACGGTTCAGCATGACTTACTTGTTTTTGTTTGACGTTTTATTTTATTTTATTATAATTCCGAATGTATACCATAAATACCTGACAGCCGTTTTCATAGTATTTGAACAAATTTGCAGTTTCCAGGTTTTTATTATTTATTGTTATGGCTCCTAATTTTGCAGCTAATGAAATAGTCGATGTATTAATTGTTAGTAAGTGCAAAGAAAATGTGTTTCGAGGTAGCCGCGCATAAACTATAATTCTTGCTACAAAACTGGTTGCCAAGCTAGAAAAATTTAACTGGAAAGCGAAGACAATGGAAGGTTTGGACGATAATCCACTTATTAGAATTCAAAAAATATCCAGGACGACGGGTATATCGCAGTTGTGAATTCTCTCCATTAGGTTTGAATATATATTAATCTTATTAATATTATTAATTATAGTTGGAAGTTTGGATCGTGAAATCTATCCATAAAGTTAACAGGCGGCAGTGTAATTTGCCTGAGTGTGAAGTTAATTGTTTCTCGTTACATCTATTTTTATTTCTCCATTTTTGGACCAAACTTCGAGCCACAGCAAATGATATTGAAGGTTTCTGTATACGGTGTCTGTTTCTTTATGAGAGGAAAGGATTGCTGCATTGTCAGCAAAAGAGAGAATTATTTTTGAAAGAATAGGAATGCCAGCAGGAGGAGAGGTCCAAGACTGCTCCCTTGTTATCGGGGTATTCGCTGTGACTAACTCTGAATTAACGGTCAGACAGGGACGATTTTAAGGTAAGGTAGTAGGTATTGGACAGGATGCTCTTCAGCTTCCTCAGTAGACCCTGATACCAGGGTCAAAGGCATGAGCAATGTCACAGAATATACCCGGACAAGACTGCTTCTGCTCAAGGAAAAATGAAATGACATTCACACCGCGATGGCATTGATTTGCGTAATCCTTAATTTGCGGAAATCCTCAAGAAAAAATACTCTGGGGTTTTCTTGCGGATTTCCTCTACTGAACCGATTTTAGCCAAGGAAATCATCTCAAGGAAGATAAAGACATTAGAAGGACATCTCAAGGAAGATTAGACCAGTTTTGACTGGTGGTTGTTCATACGCTTGCACACAACAACAGCAGATCCTACTGCCTTCAGATTCCTTAATTTTTTTAATTTTATTTTCGGACGGCTTCTCATATTGTTTATTTTTTTTAATCACGTCACTCTTTATTGCTTTTGCGTCCACTTCTTTAAATTTTTTAACATTTTCGCGTACGCGACCTCATGTTATAGCCACAAGCAAGGTTCTTTCTCGTACATTTGTATGAATTCTGTTAAAATTTTTCGTGACGGCGAAATAGGCAGTACTTCAGAAATTCTCATCTCGTAGGGAAACTTATAAAAACCGGCCACAAGGCGGAAAAGAATTGATTTTCGGGATTTTTCGGCCTCTTCCTCTCTCCGCGGCCTGAAGGACTCCGCCACATTGAGGAATTTCTCAAGGCTTGGACTGTCAAGTCCTTGAGGAAATCCCACTCTTGTATAGGCTACCTTTAGCCTCTCGATCTTTGCTTCATGTTTCTGCGATTTATTTATATTTATGTCTTTATTCTATGCGTTTAACGTTAGCTCTCGCATTTTCCATGCAAACCGTAAGTTTATTTAAAATAAAAATAAAATGTGCCGTCATACAATTTATAGCAGGATTTCCACTGGCCCAAAAGTTTAATTCGTCCGGTCATAAGTAAAAGCAGAGGGAGGTCGGCCTTGTTCGGTTTTTGCCGTATAAGATCCGCCCCCAGTCGCACCGAGTAGTTCCGACGGCTCACGAACTGGACAAAATCGCCGAAAACCCCTTTTCCCGCCAAGGATCACTTCAGTCGCTCTACAGAGCTCCTCCGTACTTGGTGAACTCAGCTTTCGTCATAAAACGTCAAAAACATCGCGCCACGCGTGTGACATACAAATCCAATCGCGACAAAGCGTAAAAAAAACTCATTTTTTTGAATCGAGACCTTAGAAATTACAAAATCAAGGTAAATTAAAATCCATTATCCCAATAATCGTTTGCACGTTTTTTCCCTTTAACCAACCATTGAACATATGAAATTTTTTTTTGCAATTCCAAAACTAGTCGATTACATACGTTAATTATATACAAGAGACATTTGTCAAGAAAGACGTCATAAATAAAGTCAAATTCTCTGAAAATTAACTGACAGTAGCGGTCAAGACAAAATATCTCAATGTAGAAACTGAGAAAAACATGAAATAATTATGTCTTATGTAAAATATATCGTCTACTTTGAACAAATTTAAACAATATTAAGGAAATAAAACAATTTTTTTTATATAAAACAAAAAACATGATATTCTTCATTAATCCGTTTTTCATCTGTTCGCCAAAATTCAAAAGGGAAGTAACAAAAATTAATTGGTCAAAATCACATCCACGTGATTCAGTTCGAAATAAATAATTTTTTACAGACGTAGATTACGTGTGAGTTCGAATCCCGGTAGAAAATTGCCTGTTTTGTTCAAATAATCATTACTCAAATACCAGAACTAATTAAATGTCGTGGTTTTGAAATACGGTATTAAACACAATCTACGTGAATACAAATCAATAAAATTTTAATTTTATTTAATTATCCAAATCTGTCAACATTTATATAAAAAGTAGGTCCGGTTCCCCCCCCCCTTATTGTAATTTCTTTTTGTTTCAATCAAGTATGAATTAAGTCTAAGTATGTGAACTTATTGAGTTTGTTTCTGCAGATGTAAAGATAAGTTAAAAAATTCGTCTTCACATCCTTAGCGCTGGCCAGTTTTGTTTTTACCTTTTTAGGATCATTTGAGTAGATGTGACTTTGTACGGTATTGTGTGAAATAAAGTCTAGCTTAAATGGTACGTTGAATCGAAGAATAAATTTAGAATGAGGATACCGTTAGCCTAATGTTATCGCAATGCGCCACTACCACGGGTACAAGTTCGCCCCTTACAAATAAAAACGCTTTATTCTCTTCTATGTTGATAAAACCCGCCTTATGCACTTATGTAAACAATTCGTTACTTATTCATAATTTTAGAACTTGGCCGACAAATATTTTGTAACGAAACAAAAATTACCCGAGATTCGTATCAAATTGGGCGCATTTATAAAATTGATATCGTACAATAACTGATAATGCGTTGGGTTTGTGTTCTAATGGCACATCGGGCCGTTCTTTTTCGTACTCTGTTTGGAATTTTGATATATTACGTGGCGTGTCGCAAAGTAGTAGACACGTTATCTTTCCAGCAAACAAGTAAGTAAAAAGAAATAATTCAGGCATATTACCGACATTGTTATCTGATTATACAAACATATTTGGAACTGAGGGGTTATATTTTTTCGGGCAAAATATCCATCAGAAAAAATAAAAATCATGTTGGTGACGTGCTTTACTTATATATATATGTATAATAGAATAAATCTTAAGATATATAATAGATGAAATATTCCTAAGCGTTTTTACAAAATCTAGGAAAATCTAACACTATACAGAGTGTCCTTTGTAGATGGCCCAGCTGAATTTCTCTTGAACCAATGACGCTATCAAAAAAACAAAAAATACGTCTTTAATATTTTTTAGTCAAGTTTCAAATTTTAACCTTTTTTTGGACAAAAATTATAAATGGTATATCAGGCCTAGTTAACTTCAAAATATCAAATACGATATATACTATATACTATACATCCGGAGACATCATTTTAAAGCATTTTTTACATTGAAAATATCGGTGCAATCGGATTTTAAATTGGTCAAAAAATGACAAAGTTATGGCAGACAGTCTGAAAAAAACTCGTTTAGTTTGTTTCGTTGTAAATTCAAATAATTTGCGTCTTCACTAAAGTAAACATTAATTGCCTTTATCTAGGGTCGTTTTTAAAATTGTGAAGTTGAACCGGGCCTGAGGTTTCTCCAAAAAAAGGTTAAAATTTGAAACTAGACGAAAAAGTATTAAACATTTTTTTTTTATGGCGTCCTTCGTTCATGAGAAATTTATACGGGCCATCTAAAAAGGCCTGTATAACAAAAAGAGTGCTTAATTTATCTCACATAATAGAAGTTCGTCTGTCTTGGCTCCTTATAGAGAATGTGTAGGCTTGCCGCCGAATTTAAGAAAGGTTCACAGGCACGTTAGCCAGTTTATGGGATCCCTGCTTTTTGGAAAACATGTTTTTTTATTGTATATAGATATTATGTTTCATATAATTTGTATGATTTGGAACGATGGTGGATTATTTATAAAAATACCCCGTCGATCCTAATTTAGATTACATTGATTATTTGGAGGTCGTGAGATGCGGTCTGGTGTGACGTAGGTTTTAGAAAAACATTTTATTTATCGTGTCAACGTTTCGATCTTTATTGAGATCATCTTCAGTGCTCAAAGTTTTTCTTTTCCGTGTAGATGTGTCACTCTTCTGTGTCGTGCTGTCGTGCCCCACAGAAGAATGTGTGACTTTGAGCCCTGAAGATGGTCTCAATAAAGATCGAAACGTTGTCACGATAAAGAAAATGTTTTTCTGAAACCTACGTCACACCAGACCGCATCGACCTCCAAATAATCATCAAGTAACGTTCACTAAACACCGTATATTAGATTACATTATTAATATTGTGTGTAGGTCGATGGACGAATATCGAGTAAACCACCAATTAATCAAAACGAGTATAATGTACATAGGTGTGAATGTATTTATTTGTGCGACTGATTATAGAAGTTCGTTAGTTTTAGGCTAGGTTATATTTTGTATGTGTTGGGGGCTGAAAGTCAGCTGTCAAAAGTTGCTTGCAAAGCAACGATCTCATTGGCATTTTACTTAAAGAAGATACTAGCGACCTAGCCGCATAACACATAACACGTCTGCATAAATTTCTCAAACTGATCATAAAATATTAATTTCAAAACTTAAAGCAGTAGGTATCAATTGTCTTCTGTTACTTTGCTTTTCAAACTATTTTGTTTCATCGTCTCCAAGTAGTAAAAATAGACGAATATCAATCTAATTCTGGTGTTCTACAAGATCTCCACTGTTATATGACATTCCATTCCTTTCCATTTTGCCTGCTACATTGGGAACAATTAAATCTAATGAGGATTGCAGACTGCTTCAATCTGTCTTAAATTCATCTCATCTGGTCGATTGAAAATAATTGAAATACTACATGTTGAAAAATACAACAAAATCTATAAATCTAACTCTTGGGTCGCTTACAAGTATGACATAAACAGCTCCTAGAAATGATGAATGATGGAGTGAGTGCGGCGTTCAATCCTTTTTAAAAAGATAGTTCCTACTCACAGTAAGTAGTACTATCTTTTTTATAAGGATTAAACAGCTCCCATTTATCATCAAAAACTATCACAAACGATCTTGGAGTAACCTTTAATTATAAATTCATTAGATTTTGTGGTCCGATTGACCAAAAAACATCTTTAAACATTAATATTTATGTAAGGTATTGTTTGAAAAAAAATTACCTTCTAAAAAACTAAAATTGTTAACTTTTTTATAATATCCTTAAAATCATTTAAGAAATCCATTATATTTAGTGATATGATTGACCAAATTACTTCTTTCAATTAATTAATCTTTTTATGTAAGGTCTTGGCTGAGAAAAAAATTACCTTCTAAAAAACTAAAATTGTTAA